AACAAAAATTTTCTGCGTTTCTTCGTATGCTTGTACACAGATTTATTTACCTAACTAAATTTGTTTTTTTTTTTTTTGCTTTTTGCGCTACTTCGCGTTCCATGGTGCATTTGCTGCAAATGCTGCTGCCACTTTTGTTTGTGAATGAATTTTTATGACTTCGGGTGTCAAATGCTTCTTTTTTTTATTGGAGAAACGAAATATGCATAACACATAAAAATATTATTTGCCCTCGAGTTTTAAATGTTTTTTTTTTTTTGCTTACGCGTGTGTATGTGTGTGTGTGTGCTTAATGCAAGACTTGGCAAGTCATCAGCGAAGTATTAAATAAAAAAGTGGCTGCCTGTGCCACTGCGTCTGTCATTGAAAGGCAGCCGGCAATGGCGGAAGCAATTATGCCTTCTTTTTGTTGTTGTTGTTGCTGTTGCCTTTGCCGTTAATTGAAATTTTTAGTGGGAAAATAGGCGTAAGTGCCTGACACAAGCTTGCAAGTTCGTTGAACACATTTGCACCGGTTGCACTCGCGATTTTTTTCTATTCATTTTGTGTGCATTAGGGTATTCAATCCCGGGATTACAGCTCCGGAATGCCGATATTTTTACTGATTCATTTACAGAATGCAAAAAGTTGTGATGAAGTCGAAATACCGAAACATCTCGGGATGCCGGGACTAGAATTTTTGAATCCCGGAATCCCGGGTTTGTTAAAATCATTCGGGATTGAATGCCCTAGTGTATATGGAGTATGTATGCATACATAACTTTCATGAGGAAGAACCTTTTGTTGTTGTTTAGCGAATTGTACTACTTTGAAGCACAGTTACTGCACCAGCAGCAGAATGTACGGAGTTGCAACTTGCATTAAATTTTGTATGAAACAATTAAAAATACACATACTTCTCGAGCATAATTATTATAACTTTACTACTTTCGGAAGTTTGTGGCGTAAGTTTTTATGTCTAACGAAACTTTTTGTTGATGCCATTAAGAAAAACTTTATTGACGATCGTACAAGGAGGTGGAAGAGAACAGCCTTTGCTCTTCCTTTTTCCAATTAAAAAGAATTTTTCAACTGGAATTGTATTAATAGCTCTGTTATTCGGTATTTTATCCGTCTAGTTGACCCACTTTAATAAAGTGCGCGCCAATATTTTTTTTCGTCGAAGATTTGCCCTGTTTTTATTTAATTCACCTGTCAATATGTCAAATAAAAAGCTATACATTTTTGTGTGAACATAAAACGTTTATTGAGATCTGCATGCATTAAAACTTTATTTCCAATTTTTATTACAGCACCGACGGCACAGAATCACCCATATTAGCCGAAGCTGATGCAGATGGACATGACAAACCGCGAGTGCGTTATGGTGAACTGGTTATACTTGGGTATGTATTTTGAATCAATTCAACATAGATTAGACAACTTAGTTGCAATGAGAATGACTCAAGGGCAGTGTGAGTCGTGAATGTTCAATATATCAAAAATTAGGCTCCATGTTAGTGGGCTTGTGCAGCCCTCTAGGAACATATTAACTTTACTTAAAAATGCCGAAACTTTTTTTGAACTTTTTTTTGAATACATATACATATATGGATATGATTAAAAATCCGAATATCCAGATATTAACTAGATATGCGGATAACAAACTGAACGGATAATAACCGGATATCCCGGTTTTTACACGAATATCCAAACCGACAACTGAATATACGGATAGTTCCAAGTCCTTATAGAAATCTCGATAAAAATAACTGAACTTTTCTATGTCTTATCTCAAAATTTAATATTTTTGCAGTAAAACACTTGTCTGTTTAAGTTAAACATACTTTAAACCATGATAAAAATATAGTAAGGTAGAACCGCTGAGAGTCACTTTTAAAATTCTTGACGTTTCCAAACAATTTAATTTTTAAATTTTCTCACAAACTCACACACACATTTTCATTTTCAATCTCAAGCAACAACAATTTCGAACAATTTCATTTTTTTATTTTCACATTTATATGATTTTAAAATGTTGGCAAACTTCAAAAAAAAATCATGGCCGACAAATTGAGAGAACGGTTATACCTTGCTATGTTTTTATCATGCTTTAAACCATTAACTTGTCCTTTAATAAAAATTTCAAATAAAAGCCAAATACATAATTGTGTTTGTCAAAACCCCATAGGTAATTCGGATTTTGTCCCGTTTGAGTACCTTTTTCAAGTAGTGTTAGGAAGTATCGAATAATTTTGAGGTTCTCTGCTATCGATACATTTAAGAATGAGGTATTTTTGAGAGTACTGAGTATTTTCTTTAAATATAAACATGATAGTAATACTTCTTTGTTTAGCGTAGAAATCTGATCAATATATTAATCTCAAATTAAAGTCGTAATTGTACTGTGTACAAGTATTGTACTTGAAAATTATTGAGACTTGAAATTGAGTACAAAAATTTTTGAATACCGGTGAATGTAAACAGAACTGAGTACTTTTAATTATCTATTCGACACTTAATACTAACTACTTTGAATCGATACGGAGTATATGTATCAAAGTGATGATTGCAGCAGAGTATTTATGAGTACTGAGTACATTCGAGTTTATCTAAGTTCTGAATACTTTCGAGTTCTTTTGTGAGTACTGAGTACTTTGGATTACTCAGTATCTATCGATGCTTTTAAAAATCGGGTACTGTCGATCCTTTTGAGAATCGAGTTCTGAGTACTTTTGGTATCGGTAGTGTCCGACACTAGTATCAAGTACTTACATATTCGCTTTTATACTTTCCTGCAGGGCATGGTTGTTTGGTCAGCGATACGTCACCATATATGCGTATATAATCTAACGTTGCATTTGTTGGTCAGTGATATTGTCGTGAGCTTAACATATTCTTACTACCAGCGGCTTTGTATGCAACTTTTTACGCCAAGAACGTGGTGCGTACATTAGTGTGGCCCAAAAATGCATGTGAAAAAAATAAAGTCCAAATTTTAATGCTCTCACCTCCTTGTTCTACATATTTTATGTATATTGATTTAATGTGCCGCTGATTTTTTGGTTGAAATCATAAAATATTTAGAGATCGCTCACAGTTTTCCATGTATTTTATAAGAACAAAAAAACAATTTTACCTAGAAGTGATATAGAATTCTCTAAAATCAATATTTTTCGATTGGAAAACTCTTTTCCTTCAGGAGACTTCCAATAATTATAACCAATTGTTTATTTTACCATTTTTTGATACTCACGATTTTTTATCGGTCCCCAATGCATTTTTTTTGTTGAGGAGGTCATAGGGGGACCCATAAAAAAAGCTCCTATTAAAAAATTGTCAAATAAATAGTTGCGTATTATTATTGGAAGTCTTCTGGAGAGAAACAGAGATTTCCGATCGAAAAATACTGATTATCTACGAAAGTTTTTTCTCTTATAAAATACATGGCAAATTTTGAGCGCTTTGAGCGACCTCCAAATATTTTTTTCGATATAGAACAATCCTAGGGAGTGAGGGTTTTTGGACCGCCCTAATGTCATACAAATACATATGTATTTATATTTATAATGACTTTTGGCATTTGTTTGGCCTCTGTCTCTGGCACCACCATTTTCGTCTATTTTAAATTTTCTAAAAACGTATTGACGGTGGCGCCAAACCATGAACAACTTATTCAAATGACTGCATTGAGTGCACGTTTTTTCTTGTTGCTGAATGTGAGAACTTCGTAGTTTAAATTTTTCACCTATTTTCATGCGCACGAAAGGTCAGCTGGAACACAGAATAACAATAAATAAAAAAATTAAAAAAAAAAATTAGTCCAACAAGAATAGAAACACACTAATGAGTACAACACGCTGCAGTGTCATAAACACTTTTGCGGCGGTTTATGTGTTTATTCTGTGTTTGGTATTGTCAATGCGGCAAATATGTACATACATGCATATAGTACATATCTATGCCATGCTATTTAAATTTCATTTCATTGACATTTAAAATTAGATTGACACAAACGTGATTATCTATGTATGTACTTAATTTGCTTGTAGGCAGAACTACAATGCTGCGGAAGCCTATGTAGCTTTGCGCAAAATTTATGAACGCCTATAGTAAAATTGTTACTTAGCTGACTGCAGGTTTCTAAAAAAGGAGTTTCGCGGCGCAGCCGGACACTCATGCACACACATATGTAGGTACAGTAGTGTTCAAAAAAAAAAAACTGCTACGTCAGTCCTATCAAACTAGAAACTCAATTGTTAAACTTAGAGAATGCATATAAATTGGTAATACCTTCAAGCTCAGTTCACCACACTCAACTTGTCTCAAACATTACCTTTGCCTGTTGACTTAGAATGTACTGTCTGGAATCACACATTCCAATTTGAAGTTATTGGTTGATTCCAAGCCTCCATGCCCTTTGGCGGGCTATTTCATTTTGAACGTTTTACTCTTGCATGGGCATCTTCAATCGTCATATATGTATGACGACATTCTCCTGAAGAATTTTTCGCGGGATGTCAAAAGTTTGCTGTTGTTTCTTAGGTCGATAGGTAGATTTTGTCTTGACTTCAATCGATGCGTTTATCTAGCTGATTGTAAAGAAGAGTACCGTGTTTTTAGTACATCTACATTAAAAAATAAATAAATAATTTAAAAACACCTAATTATGGGGACATCTTTATTTCTTTAAAATGTTAGATCCTCATAAATTAAACATTGCTATTTTTTTGACAGTTCGTTTTTGGTAAATATAAGGAAATGCCCCATAAAACGGCGCAATGAACTAAAAGTGTCGATTTCTTGTTTACTTTCCTGTTTATTATATCCTAATTTAAAATATCTTAAAGCAACTCTTCATCTTGTAAAGCAGAACGTTTTACTATTCTGAGGTGTCGCACTACTATTTTTGTTAACTCAACTGTATCTACATACGTATGTATGTATCGCATGTAGGCAACGCAACACAAAAGTAAATCACGCCTCTTGCCCACACATTAGCCCCGGGGGCCATGGCATAAATGCCTGTCAAACTGGGCACAAATCACTTGTGACAGCACTTTTGACCTTAACATGATGTTGCTGGCTTTGTTATTGCTTTTGTTTTATGCGCGTTTCAATCTCCTTAATGACCACAACATTCATAAATTAGACTCACACTTGTTCCAATAAAATATGCGCGACTATGTAGAAATCTATTCTTCTCGAGATTGACGGATGTCACTGATGACATTTGTTTTATTTAAATTTTGGTTGTTTTTTTGGGCTTACAAATTGTCACTTTACCTTCTTGCAAAAAATCAACGGCTAGTCCCAGCTACTTCAGGCTTGCACTTTATTATACATACTAAAATTTAATGGGCTACAACACTGCATGCCAAAAATATTTCTTATTCACGCAAAAAACCTTTGATCGCTGCTTAATAGTCAGAAGAAATGTAGATGGAACGGATTAAATAGGGTCGCGTTCTAACTGGACAAAAAAGCTGGCAAGCCCTTAACGAAGAAAATTGATGGCGTGAAGGTGTGAAAACTAGGCGGAAGACTTGTCATTTACATACATACTACATATTTACAGACAGCTCAAAAATAATGAACGGAGTAGAAGTATGGCTATATTGCGTGAAACTTGACATTTGTCAACCAATTAAGTTGCCAGCTGACAGTCAAGCAATTCAAAGATCCAAGGAGCAACTACATATCCGAAAATGGGCGACTGCATTTCTACAAAGTCGATTCGTGCAATCGCTGTCAAGAGGAGACAGCAGAAACATTATGGTAGTTATACTAATAGCTATTAGTCTATTAGCGGCATACGCAGTTTAAAGTAGTAGCTGCTGTTGGCGACTTGGGCACGAAACTCAAAGAAATAGCAACAAAAGAGGCTTTTATAAGTCCTGCGTTATCAAGGATGCGCATACACCCTTTGAGAATCCTGCAATATAATAAACTTGAAGAGCAAAGCAAGGGTGCTTGCTAGGGAAAGTCGGAATTTCAAGGCTCTCGCATCCTAGGATTGTTCTGTACCGAAAAAGTATACCCCTGTTTTTTATTTTGAAATCAAAGAGTATTTAGGAGTCACTCAAAGTTTTCCATGTATTTTATATGGAGAAATACAATTTTTCGTAGAAATGGCACGGAATTCCTGAATATCAATATTTTTCGATCGGAAAACTCGTGAACCGAATAGCGAATAAAGTGCCAGCCAATATACTTCAATTTTAGCTTCACCAAAGCTGGGCAGACTGGTAGCCAGTTTTGATGTGATGTCACCTCTTCAACCTTCAGTTTACTGCTTCAGTAAAGATTAGATGCGCTTTTTTAGTCTTAGTGCTTGAATTCCGATCGGACAATTACACCTCAGAACCCCCACAAGAACGCGAGAGCTGTGACTGTAGAACTGTGT